AAACAAGAGCAATAAAATTCTTCAATTTCAGACCCCAAAAGGTACCACATACTCAGTAGGGGCCTGTGTATCATGTATAGTAAATAAATACTTACATGAATGAATAAATTGATCGTTTGAATGTTTTTATAAAATAACCGCTAACAAATCTTACGTTAAAATTTGCACAATCAATCTTTCAAAAAAGTGACATACTATTGGTAGTTATCTGAGAATTATGGGCATCATTATAACCTTCCTCGCCAAATGAAATGTAAAGCTGCATATAATAAATTTGTAAGCTGCATATAATAACTATGCTACATACATGTGTATATGTACAAAATATATGTGTATAAAATTTGGATCAATTTTAGTCCTTGAAGCATGAATTCCTCTATTGTTTCCCTACGTTTTTCTTCACTTAAAATATTTATTGGTACCTAACATTTTCTCTTAAGTTGTAATAGCATTTCCTCTGTTGCTATGACAACAGAATTTTCCAGCTCACTTTTTAATGGGAAGAGTTAGATTCCACTGTGATGGCGCAATGGGGGAAGACCTAGATTGAAGTAGGAGGGGAGGGGAGACAGAGTAGGAGTTCAAGGAGTTCAAGCCGAGCTGCATTCTCCCAGGACTTTGCTAAACTAGGTCCTGCGCAATCCTGACCCATATTGGCTGACTCACTGGGGTTGGGGAAAGGGAAAAGGTGATCGCTTCTGACCTGCTAGGCTGGGCTTGAATTTTTGGGGTTTATGTAATGATGACCTTGATTTTTTTGTTGTTCAGATAAAAGAAAAAGTAGGCCTTACTTAAAAGACCTGTACAGACCCACAACGTGACATCTGAATCAGGCTAAACAGTCAGCAAATTCTGCCCTCGGCTTGGCTGTTTCAGGTTTGACAGATCATTTTTCTTTGTTGGGCTTCGTTGTTTAGACTTTCTTAGCGTTATTTACAGTTCCCTCATCCATGACTGACATAACCTGTATCATGCCTCTTGTCCCAATGGTAGGTGTCTGTCATTAGGCAAAATTTTCACAGGTGCTGATGGATTGAATCTCATGTTCTCAGATAGGAATTTTTCACCAGAAATTTTTTTTCTCATGACACACACACACACACACACACACACACACACACACACACACTCATAAACACACACAGAAGCTCATGCACACTCATAAACACACACACAACACACAGGGACACACACAGACACATACATGGGACACATACATGGGACACACACACGGAACACACATACACATACACACACAGAGCCAAAACTTCATGGAGCCAGAGTAGGTCACGGGCAAGACAATTGGAGGCCAGAAATTTGCACACAGTGTCTATGTGTGCACACTATCCACACTACCTAGGACCTTTGTTATTTCTTATTTTTAAACTACAAGAAATTTAGAGAGCCAGAGGAAAATGTCTCATGTAACATTTTTATATTTTTAGGCAGTTTGCCCTTCAGCAAAACTGGACGGGTTCTGCTCTTTTCCTGAGTACTAACTTGTGTGTGTTTGCTTTGTGAGTGACCTTGTAAAATTTCCTTCCCTGTATCTGCCACCAAGCCATTTTACAAGTCCCTTCTGCTCAGACATGAGGACTTGGGTCTGGCTATGCCTTGAGTTATCACTTACTTTCTAATATGGATCCACAGAGGATAGAAGATATATCTATAGTGTCACATGTATTATAAGACTCCAAGAGCTATTTAAAATTTGTGTGTATGATTAGGAGTGGGAGGTGATTCTGACTTTGTGTGTGTGGGAACTGTTATGAGAAAGCCTTGGGTGGCCTTATTTATGGTCAAACAATTACTGGCTATGCAGTGGGAGCAGTAGAGTATATTTTATTGCTAAAAGGCTTATGCTAATGTGAATAATCAAACATTTGTAAGTTTGGGTAAAAGTAAGTACCATGGTGTGTAAAAATTAGATAGGGCTTCTGGCCTCTAGGTGTACAATTTGTTTGTAAATTTATTGGTTAGGGCTAAGGGATTGGCTTAGCACCTAAATTAACACATCCTACATGTGTGAAGAGCAGAGTCTGCATATTTCAGCAGAAATACACAGAGAATATCAGGTGGGTGTGGTGTGACTGCAGCCTTGGGAGGTAGAGATGGGGACACAGAGGGATGGACTAGCAAGAGACGGGGACACAGAGGGATGGACTAGCAAGAGTGATCCAAGCAAGCTCTGGGTTTGATTGACAACAGTGTAAGAAAGATTGTGTACGGTTGTCAGCATCAGCCTCAGGCCTCCATGTGTATGCTCCACACATGTGCTCCCACACAAGTAAGCATGCAGTGTAACCATGGCAATCACGCACATTGGGGAAAATGGCCAACGGAAAAGAAATCCACTGTCTCATTGATTGTGAGCGTGAGAGATACGTCAGATGTGTTTTTTTCCCCACAAGTTGACGTAGATCAGAATTTAAGGATCTGCTTAAGATGGGAGGGTGAGTTCCAGATCTGACAGCCTGCATCATCTGTGTCTGAATCTAAGGGACCGGACAGCAGAGGGCCTGGGAGCTTGTGCGGAAAGGCTTTACCAGAGAGAAGGCAGTCAGGAGCTTGACAGATAAGAGGAAAACCTTCGGCTTGGTCAGGGCTGGAGACAGAGTGGACCTGGCAGCCAGGGTTTCCAGTCCAGCCCTCTGCAGCTACTGGAGAGAAGGGGAACAGATATTAACAAACAGAGTGTCCTCAAACTTCAGTAGCGTCAGTCACATGCCAGTTCTCACGGAAAAGCCCTGTGTGGGCTGGAAACTGTCTGTCAGAAAAAGGTTGGATCTGTCTTTCTGCAGGAACCGAAAATACCCTGTGACATCTCCTGATTGCTGGTCGCCCTCTGTGAGGCTGACATAAGCTGTCTACTGTCTCAGAGGGCAGAGCAGTGACACGTACTGGCTCAGTGTGAAATGAGCTAGCTCCGAAGCGAACCCTTGGAAGATGCATTTCTCCTCTTTATATACCAGGAAGTAAGAACCCCCCACTGCCTCACTGTCCCTATCTCAGAGTGTGGGTCACTTCCCAGGGGTACCAACTCCTTCCTTACCAGGGAGGGGCAGCGTGGGACTTAAGTTTTCTGAGTGTCACTTACAGGGTTTCTTGGTAAACCTTTCAAAATCAAAATTCAGAAGAAATAACACACAATTCTATGTGTTTTGGAGGGAGTCCTCATTGCTCAGAGTCTTATCCTGCGGTTGAATGAGAGTGCCCGGATAGCTGCTCTCTGTTTTAGGAAAATCTAAAGCTTCCTAAGGCTGAACTTTGTGGTTCTTAGACAAACCCAGCTCTTTTCTAAACAGGCAGAGTTTTTCCTATGATTTATTTCATTCTTAAATGTGTGATCGTGTGTATGTGGATATGTACGAGTGTGTATGTCTCTGTGTGAGGGTGTGTATGTGTGTATATACACATGTGAGCACCCATATGAAAGAGAACGCAAATAAATTAATCCCACACTAACTGAGAATCAAGTATAATAAGGGGTTCTTTATTTAAGGGGGACTCACAGACCACAGTCCTCCCTATGTATGACCAGGAAACAGGAACTGAATCCAGCATCCATGCGAGATACACACACACACACACACACACACACACACACACACACACACACACAGAGGGCAAGCCACTGCGTACCATTTTGGTGCCCAAGGCCACACCCAACCTGTTTAACCTCTCAAAGGCCATTGGCTAAAGGAAGGTCCCCATCACCCATATATGTGTGACTCTCTGTGTATGTATGCATATGTGTGATTGTGACTCTGTGTGTCTGAATGTGTGTTTGTATGTGTAGGTGCATAAACATGTCTTTGTGTGTGTGTATGTGTATGCATGTATGTGTGTGTTAGTGTTTCTGCATGTGAATCTTTGTGTGAATGAATGTATGATTCTGTGCATGTATGTGTGTAAGTATGTGTGTGTGCATTATTGTCTCTGTGTGAGTGTGTCTCTGTGTGAATGAATGTGTGTGATTGTGTGCATGTATGTGTGTGTGTGTATGTGTGTGTGTGTAGAAAGTGCTAATGCCTATGGTCAGAGGTAACAGATCTTCCTGGAGCTGAGACACAGGTGGCTCTGAGTTACTGAATCGGAGTTCTGGGAACCAAACTCGGGTTCCCTATAAGTGTACTGTGTGCGCTTAACTACTGAACCAGCATTCCAGCCGTTAATTTTTTAATACGTATTTTTTTTTACATTTATTCTTTGAGAATTTCATGTACATACATAATTCTTTCAATTCCACTCCAACTCTTCCCAGATCACCCACACCTCTTGATTCCACTTTTTAAAAAATAACACACTGAGTCTAATTTGTGTTGGGTGCAGGGCAACCTGCTAGACCATGTGGCCACATCCCCAAAGAAGACTGACCTTCCTTCTCTTAGCAGCCATCAACCCTCATAGTTGCTTAGCTGTGGATGGAGGCGGGCGCATCTCTGAGCCATTCATGAACAGCTTCAACTTTCAGGTTAATCCTGCCAATCTCTGACCTCTTAGCTTCATTTAGAGAAGCGCCCATGTTCCTTTGCACTGAATGCCCGTTTTTTCCGCTTAGCAGAATTCTGCAGCTCACTGACCCTGTAGGGAGTGGAGAAGATAGGGCTATCATAGAACGCTGGACAAATCAGACAGTGTACACCATGCCCGCATTTCACACAGTGGCTTTTCTTAGTTCAGGGCTTTATAAAGTTTGCAAAAGAGCGATAGGACAAGCTAGTCTTCGGAGGTGTGAAAAGGCTCAGAGGAAGCCTGAGGAGAAGATGCAGCTTTGCCCAGACTGCAAATTGAACAACCGAGTGTTGGTGCATTTACGTCATTTAAGAAAGGCGCTGAACTTTTTCTCCCTGGGCACTAATCCCCCATGGGGCCCCCAGAGTGCACCTTTTGTTGTACAGGAAGCAGAGCGTCTGTGAGCGGATCCAAAGGGACTTACCGTTCCATCTGTTGAGATCTCTGCTCATTTGCTTTACAGACCCCGGTGGTGTGCGGACAGCATGGCCTTAAATCACACTGCCCCACCCCAGGACGAGCGCCTGCCACACTATCTTCGAGATGAGGACCCCTTTGCTTCCAAACTTTCCTGGGAAGCGGATTTAGTGGCTGGCTTTTACCTAACAATCATAGGTAAGCTTCCATAACGTTTCTGTGTCAGAGGCTGAAATTGAGAGAAGTCACAGGGCTGGGCTGATTTTGCACAAACAGTTCTGATACTTACATGGGGATTGGTGGAGGTGGGGAAAGGTGGGTAGGCATAACGGCAGTCAATCAAGGTTTCATAAAAACAACTGTTACTGTCATTAGGGATAAATATTCCACTGATAATCCAAAGAACTTTCACAGTGAGTTCTTTATCTAGAGATTGTTTCGTTTTGGTTGCTTAACTAGTATCTTTGCTTTGTGAATATTAAAAGAGTGATAATGAATATATTTCTGTCCTGAAAGAACGGCCCTTAGACCATTTGCTGGCCAAGTGTTCCAGCTTCTTCTCACAACCCAGGAAACTGTGGCCCCGGACAGCAGAGACAGTAGACACTGCCTTAGATGTTGCACCTTATCGATGCTGCTAAGACAAAAATTACATTGATGATCAGTTGAAACAAGTCCAGGGTGAAAAGATTTTGGTGCATCACTCCCACAGGGTTGCCTCTGTCTGATGTTAGACTGTATTGTCATCCAGCAACCACCCGTGGCTCCTGGGCACACAAACAGTTATCTTTCAAATGAGCATATTGGAATGAAAATGCATGCCTCCTATTGGAGGCTTAGTACCCGGAAAACAATGCACAAATATTTGAAACATAAAGTACCTGTTGAACTCGTAATTCCTGGGTTAGATTAAGTATTAAATTGTCAAAACTAATTTGTTTGTGTGTTTTTATGTTGCTTAATGTGGCTACCAGAAAAAAATTAAAGTATATGTGTAGCTCTTCTTCCTGGTTTACATTATATTTATATTGGATTGTGCTAATGCAGAAAATAAAGTTTTATAACATTTGGCTGGGCATGGTGGCACATATCTTTAATGCCAGCATCTGGAAAGCACAGGCAGGCAGATCTCTGTGAGGTTGAGGCCAATCTGGTCTATATAGAACAGTTCCAGGCCAGCCAGAGCTGCATAGTGATACCCTGGTTTTTTAAAGTAAATATTTACAACATTTATTTAATTTAAAGTTGCTACATTAAGTTTGGGCATGTGGTGAGCTTCCATCTTTAGGTTTATATGCCTTTAATATTTTCAGGTGTTGGTTCAAGCCTGGTTTATCAACCTCTCTTTCTTTCTCTCTCCTCTCTCTGTTCCTTCCACTATCCCTCCCTCCCCTCTCCTCTCCCTTCTCTCATCGGTCTATGACTGGCGAAGAATTTCATGTAATTCCTGAAATTAGAAAAACCCATTAGAAAGTTCTCAAGATCCCTCTATGGTCAGTGCTTGAGGCGGAAAGAATTCGTGATATTAAAAAAGAAGTGCTCTATTGCCAAATAATTCCCAGGGTCCTTGTACTTACTGTGAGCATTTGGCTACTTTTCATTTAATTTAAATTTGTCCTTTCAAACACAAATATACAAAGTACCTACTCTTTGCTACCCATAAATGGCTGGGAACAGAGCAGTAACTAAAAGCCCTTTGCTGGAATACAGACTCCCTCAGAGTAAGTCCACATCATGATTTTATTAAACTCAGTGATTGGAAAAGGCAGACGAGCAAGCACTTCATAAACCCAGTCAGTTGCAAGGGATGGTTTGAAAATAGTATCTTCAGCCAGAGAAATGGCTTTTGGCAGTGTAGCAGCGGGAGGACTATTAGCCCATTCTTTCTAAGTTGAAGGATTTTTAGCAGGAGAGACCAATAGCATCGGTGGGACAATGAGAGACGTTCTCACTTTATGTATGTTGGGCTCAAGGGAATCAAAATCAGATTTAAATTCTGGAGTCGAGCTTAGAAATTAGATGTTGAATGAAGAATCCCCAAGCAAAGGGAGTGTCAGGTAAATCAGGGAGGGAAATTGAAGTCCCAGACAATCATCTGGGATGAGGGGAGAAGGGTAGGTTTGGATGACAATGGAGGGCCTGGAACTCTTTCTAGACCCATGTCTTTGGCTTGACTCCATGTCTGGTCATCACATGTCTAGGTCCTTTTTAAGGTGCCAAAGCAGACAGGGCAACATTCTTGTTAAATACGAGGAATCTTAGGGGAAACTGAAGAATGGAAATAGAAGCGCAAGTCTGGCATGCAGGAGAAATAAACGCGAGACCCATTTTCCACTCCCCACTTTTCCACATTAACACCTGCCTGACTGACAGCCTGTAGAGGAAGGCTCCTCATCCTTCCTGTCTGCAAAGGATACAGGATTTTGAGGATCCAAAAAAACGACTGGCTCATAGTCTCCATTGTCTTGATCTTGTTTTCCTTAGTGTTAAAAATATATCAGTTTCTCTTAAAGTTCATTTGCAGACAAGGTTGCTTGTGGAAACAATGGAACATGGCACTTAATAGAATTCTTTATTTTTTAAATCACGACGGGCACTGGGTAAAAAACCCTATGAAAAAGGGTTAAGTAAAAATGTAAGGAAGCACAGTAAGACACATTCTCAAGAGATGCTGGCAGGCGAAAGAGTGTCAGACAAGCCTTTTAAATTGACTGTGTGTGAATACTTAACTATTTTTTACTCTTTTTTTTTTTGGATATGAAATGGATGGAATTTATTTTATTGTTCTCGAGCTCCATTTTTGTATTTTCCTTTCCCAGTGTGCCTTGCTAGATGGATTCTTATAAGGAGACAGGCGTTGCCTTTGATCTGCCTTGCTTTAGGACTGTACAATTTCTTCAATTTTTCTTCCCTTTTGCTTTAAGAAAGCTAAAGAGGCTTTCATGGACCATTAAGCATCTTTGACTCCAGAGAGTCAGCATCTCCTAGCAGCACAATGCAGGCAGGTCCTGGTGGTTTCGTGCCATCAGCAGAGACACACATTTTTTTTCCTTGCCCCCAAATGAATTGTGGTGGAGAAATTAAAATAGAAATTAAAGTAGACAACTCTGGGCCTCTCCTTTAATGCTTTCCTTATTCCTTACTACTGAAGGCAGCTGTACCAGACTCTCATTTATACACAGCCACACTATGAAGCAAGAATTCCTGAGGAAATCTACTCTACATGTTAAGCTATGGAAGTAGGTGTATTCTTTTCTTAAATACAGTCAGTAGATAATGGGTCTTTTTTGTGTTTTTTGGATTTTAACTGGGTTTGTAAGAACTTTGGAACAGTTTCATTGTACTACCCAAACCAACTTGTCATTAATAAGAGAGTATTCAAACTTGGGAACACATGTATGTTGTCGTTGTTGTTAGGTCTGGTGGGTTGAGGGTCGCTTTCTCTCCCCTTGGTGGGAGGGGGAGTGCCCACGTTGTCAGCTGTTACACACTCACCCTTGACACCTAGTCCAGCGGTAGCTGAAGGCATCCCGAGTTCCAGATACCACCTCAGGAGTCTAAGTCCTGGGGCTTGTGTCCAGGAGACGACCCCTTCATTGCCAGGGGTTCACAACAGCTACCTCTGACCACACCTTTCCCGCATGCTGGCGCCCCTACGGGAGCTCACAGTGGCACGGAAGTCACCCCCTTGGGTTGACTTTACCTTCAGGACTTATAAACAGTTAAGGGGTTGATCCCACTTCTCAAAGGGAGGGGATCTTACAAAGCCAATACTTTATAAAAAATGGCTGAGGAAAACACTCTGCCCTGGGGGCCAGTACAAGAACTGACCATTGGGATCCCCACATCCTCCTGAGCCTAACCGGGGAGTTAGCGGTTCCATTTGTCTGGGTAAGTTCAGCCCTGCAATCCCTGCTCCTATTCCTGTGGAGGCAACCCATCCCTTGCCTGTCACTCACAATTCATGCCTTTTATTTCATCTTCTTCATTTAGATTTTTTTATTTAGTGGCCTCTCATTACCCTCTGAATCTGTGGTGTCCATTTTTGAAATTGAGAAGTGTGTTATATGCAAGAGAGTGCTGACCCTCATTCTAATGATGGGAAATTTTGTTTTTCTTTGTAGGGATTCTCTCGGCATTCGGAAATGGGTATGTCCTTTATATGTCTTCTAGACGCAAGAAGAAGCTGAGACCTGCTGAAATAATGACTATCAATTTGGCAGTCTGTGATCTGGGGATATCAGGTAACACCGCCACGCTGCCCCTTCTCGGTGGGTTTAAAACATCAGTCGAAATCTTCTCACACTCTTCCCAAAGCAGATTTGCAGTATTTGCCAACAGCTAATAAAATGTCTGCTAAAGAGATTGTTTAACATCTATTATTTTTGGTCAGGCATGGCGCCTCTTCTACTTCTTGCTCTCAACCTGGCCCCTCTTCTGAAGCTATTTTTTAACTGATATCAGGTGGGAAAGGAAAAAACCACAATTTTCTTCCATGGAGTGCCCATCAACCACGAGTAGTTAGCCAGTACAAAAAGAAACTCCATGGTTTTTGGTGGGCTTTTCGTTTTGGCATTTTTTAAATAGTTTTTTTTTGTTTGATTTTCATCTTCCTTCTTTCCTTCCTTCTTTCCTCTCTCTCTCCTTCCCTTATTTCTTTCTGTCTTTATTCCTGTCTTTCTGTCTGTCTTTCGTTTACTTGTTTCTTTTTAGAGAGAGAACATGAAGTTGGGGGGATGTAGCAAGGTTCTGGGAGGAGTTAGGGGGAAACATCAACAAATATATTGTATAAAAATAAAAACAAAAAATTCTTTTCTTCCTTCCTCATTTCTTTCTTTATGCCCCCTTCCTTTTGAGGAAAGGTCTCCTGTAACCTAGGCTGTCCCCTGAAGTGCTGTGTAGATGAGGAGGGACTTACCCTTCATCCTTTTGTCTTCCACCTGAGTGTTAGAGTCATGGTCACTTGGCACTATGCCTGGATTTTTGTTGTTGATGTTGAATATTTTCTTTCTTCCTTATTTTTTCTCTGCAAATATATTTGTGTGTATTTGCATTTTTACATATATGAGCAGATTTGTAAGGTTACACATTCATGTGTATGTGTGAGCGCAAGCATATTCATATGTGTGTGGGCGGGCAGATGTTTGTGTGGTGCGCATACAAGTGTGTGTGTGTGTGTGTTTGTAGGTCAGAAGTTGACGTCAATGTTTTCCTCAATTTTTCCCTACCTTTGGTACTGAGGCTGGGTTTCTCACTTGGACTCATAACTCTCCAATGTGCTCCTCTAGCTAGCCAGTTTGCCTTAGGGAATTCGTTATCCTTGCCTCAAATGGGCTGACCACCCAGTGTGTTTACATGGGTCCTGAGGATCTGAACTCTGCTCTTCATGCTTATGTGACCAGCACTCTACACATGGAGTCATTTCCCAAGCCCGTTGTTGTGTTCTTGCCGTGCCCCAGGCATGCTAAGTGTTAAGGATAACATTTTGAACGACACATGACACCATACATATCCCAGAGTGCGCTGGACGACAGACTCGCTATCTAACAGTCCACTGCTTTACACTTCATGACTACTTTCCCACTCTTAGGGAAAACTGTAAGAGGACAGTCTCTTGAAGGGAAAACACCAGCCAAAGACAGCGACAGGTCACTGTGAGAGGAGAGGAAAACTACCGGGCCAGCGGTGATCTTAACTGTAACTTAAGGACTGGTCACAAGCTTCTGCTTCCATGGTCCTTAAAGCTGGCTGCGCAAACATTATTACTGGTGGGTGGGGTACTTAAAAGTTTGCCTACCGGGAGTTTACTTCTAGTGGTTGAGGGACTCAGAGCGTGAAGTGGTTGCCGTGCAAGCATGAAGTCCTGAGTTTGGATCCTCAGCGTCCATGGCAGAGCCATAATCCCAGCATCGGGCAGTGGAGAGAGGAACACCCAGGAGCTTCGACTCCAGCTTCTGAAAGATCCTGGACCCCCAAATAAGGTGGCAGAGGGAGACACCAACATTGACATTTGGTGTGCACACATGCCTAAACAAATGTGTGTCCCTGCACACACACCACACACACAGACACACAGAGATGCAGACATACATCACCCATGCATGCATATGCATGCATTTTTTTAGGCAAGTTTCTATGTGGAAAAAGTTGAAAACTGGATTTTTCCCTGCATCTTAGACTTTTTAGATAACTCAGCAGAAAGGATCTGTATTATTTTTTTCTTTAACTGTGATTCATTTAAGAAAGTAATTCTGCATGTGTCTCCTTGTAATCCCTTCTATAGAGTTCCAGAGTTGCCTAGATGTAGCCTAACCTTTATTGGGATTCAAATATCTGTTAACCTGATGTGGTCTCAGGCTCTTAGTGAAGTGTTTGACGTGTTTGTTTTTACGTGGTAATGTGTATATTCAACAGAAGAGGAATATGTTACCAAACCTCTTTCTATGTGAACCCTGAGTTTTGTGAGGCTGCAAAGTGCCTGTCATTTTGTCCCTGGCCACGCGATGGCGCTAGAGCAGCAGGAATGGTCTGGAGTTTCTCCATCCGCTCACGAAAGGCTCCTTTCCTAGTTCTGAGCGTAAAATGTCTGTCCTAGTGAACTCTGCCATTTCAGCAACATCTTTCACCAGTGAGTAATACCTGACTGTTGCTGAAGGCTGACGTGGATCGGGCGCGAATTAAAACACACTCTTAATTGGTCTGATGCATTGAAACTGTTCTCAGCCTTGCCTGTCTGTTCTGAGTTCACAGAAACGGCCTCCTTCCTTCCACCGTAAATGCTCTTACAGGAATCCAGCAGAAGGAGTTTTCTTCCACTTAATTTTTCTCTGGTTAATTTAGGTCATGGCGACTGTCTGTCATACACTTTCTTCCAATACATCCCAAGAAATGTTCTTTTCGTTACCCAGCTGCCTTCCATTCTAAACACTGGAGAAGCACATTCTAGAATCAGACGCGCTGCATATATGCAATTTAATGCCGGTTGTCTAGGGCACAAAAGGCTCTTACTAGAGAACATGCAGAAGCATGAGGTGGAGAGGCGGAGAGAGGAAACTGCTGCCTGAGTTCCCTCCAGACCTAGGGTATCAGCTGAGCTAGGGGTTTGAAATCCTGGACATTGATAGTAAAGGCAAAGCAAAGCAAAATGCCATGGAAACATAACAGCTGCGGTGTTTCTAACAGCAGCCAGGCTGAGGAGTGTTCTGCTCTGTGGGAGAGACAGAAAGACACTCAGACAGACACATACACACATAGACTGATGAAGAGATTCTCGTTGTACATGACCTTTCCAACAAGACACATCAAAGGCTTCCTCCACTCCAGGCTGTGCACAGAGTCTAGGACTTGGGAAGTGAAGAGGATCAGGATTTCAAGGTTATCCTGTAGCTTTAGCTACAGAATACATTTGAGCCTAGGTTGGGCTACATGAGGTCCTGAGGTCCTGTCTCAAAAACCAACCAATCAACACACACACACACACGCACACACACACACACACACACGCACGCACGCACGCACGCACGCACACACACACCAAGCCAAATAAAAACTCTATTCTGGATGGAGATCTAGCACCTATACTAGTTTTGGTCTGTAGATCAGTGTTTGTCTTGTCTGCTGTTTTGGCCTCCACACAAGGGGTTCTCCACAAGTTTGGAGTCCACTGTCTTCTCTGCCAGAAGACTTCAGTTCACTGATTCCGACTCTCCCTAAGTGTCACTCCCTTATGTAAAACACCGATTCTTGTCTGTCTCTGAACACTACTTTTCTTCACCCCACTAAATCCTATTTATCATTCTGTCATGCGTCCTCCCTGCTTGTTGTAAACACATTGACCCTTGTATTTACAATAGCTATCATGTGTTTGAACTTTACATTTATTAAAATGTCTCTCTCATATTTGAATGAGCGATAACTCAACAATCAAGGGAGACAAAGAATGAACAGAGAAGAAAAATTGCAAGGGAACATGGAAATGAAAGAGCTTAAGGAAGTGATTGCTGAACAATTTTTGCTAGTTTGTTTTTAGAAATAGTATCTAAAATAACGAGTTTTCTTGCAGGCCCCGAATTTTTCATTGATTCTCCTCCCCATACCTCCTCTCCTCCTTCCCCTCACCCTCACCCATTCCTGGTGCTTCCCTTCCTAACTAGTCCCTTTGTGTTCCTAAACAATTTCAAACATCAAATGATGTTATAAGATAGCCATAAATAAGAAGATATTTTTTTTCCTGATTGAAAAGAGGTCAGGCCCTCCTTGTTCAGTCTCCCCTCATGCACACAGTCATTCATGCACAGATGGTGCACCCTTGCACACATCCACGCATACATGCACAGACATATGTGTGCTATCAGAGGAGCCCGAGGGAGGAACATTTGAAAATTGCTGTAGTGGTAAAGTTCCTTCCAATCCCAAGACTTCCTATTTTTCATGCCCTTGAATCCTTTTGTTTCCCTGGAGATATCTGAATTCCTGTTTTGTATTCATTGATAAGAACCACAGAGAATAGTAAAACGAATATCTATCTATCTATCAATCTATCTGTCTGTCTGTCTATCTATCTATCTATCTATCTATCTATCATCTATCTATCTTCATCATCATCTATCATCTATCTATCTATCTGTCTGTCTATCTATCTATCTATCTATCTATCTATCTATCTATCTATATTAGTTAATCATATACATACATATACATATATATATATACACACATATGGTAAGTAAATTCAAAATTGAGAAAATATGTGTGAGGCTAACACCTTTGTCTGTGGTCTTTCAGTCTCCAGTTTTGTATTCAAAGTATGTAATGCCCATGGTTTCTCAAAATAGGACTTTCCCTACTATCTTAGGGTTTCTATTAAAGCTAAGAGACATCATGACCATGACTACTTTTTGTAACAATGAGGGGCCTGCTCGTTGGGGTTTCTGTCTCACCAGGTACCCCATAGCTGGCAAGCCCCAAAGAAAATCACACAGAGAGTCTGTATTAATTATACACTGATTGGCCCATTAGCTCAGTCTTCTTATTAGCTCTTGTAGCTTATATTAACCCATTATTCTTATCTATGCTAGCCATATGGCTCGGTACCTTTCTCAGCTGGGAGGTCACATGTTGCTGTACTGTATAATTAGGAGAGTCATGGTGTCTGCCTGACTCTGCTTTCTTCCTCCCAGAATTCTGTTCGGTCTCCTCCACCCACCTAAGGGCTAGCCTATCAAAAGGCCAGGGCAGTTTCTTTATTAACCAATGAAAGTACACATAGACAGATGACCTTTCTACATCAACTTTTATAAAGGAAAACATTAAATTGGGGCTGGCTTACAGTTTCAGAGGTTTAGTCCATCATCATCCTGGTGGGACAAGGCAGTGTGCAGGTGGTGCTGAAGAAGAGCTGAGAGTTCTGAGTCTTGATTCATAGGCAACAGGGAGTAAACTGTCACATTAGGAGTGGCTTGGGCATATGACATCTCGAAGTCTGCCTCCATAGTGACACACTTCCTCCAACAAGGTCACACATACTCCAACAAGGCCACACCTCCTAATAGTGCCAATCCCTATGGGCCAAGCCTTTAAACACACGAGTCTGTGGGGGCCATAACTATTCAAACTACTATACCCAGAGATAACTTCCCCCTTTTCTCTCCCAAGTCCTCCTTTTCAGGGCTTAACTCTGAGTGTAAGAAGTTATATCTGGTGTTAGAAATCATGTTCACTCTCACACTTCAGGAGTGATTGTACCGAAAGTTTCAACGAGAACAGAAAACTCACAATCAGAGAATAAAATTTCATGGGAGGTGACATTGTAAAGCTTTTAATAAAACAAGATGTATATCTGGTTAACAATCCTTAACAAACTAGTATGACAAAGGAAGACCTTTGATTTGAAAGCATTTAATAATGAAAAATATAAGACTTCCTTCCTTCCTTCCTTCCTTCCTTCCTTCCTTCCTTCCTTCCTTCCTTCCATCCTTCCTTTCTTCCTTCCTTCTTTTCTTCTGAGTCAGGATCTCATGTGGCTCAGGATGGCAGCGAACTCACTATGAAGTAGAGTTTAACTTCTTGAACTTCTAATCCTCTAACCTTACTTCCTGAGTGCCACAGTTACAGGGATGTCACAATGTCTGATTTGTGTGCTCTGAACATTATGTACACCAGGCAAATACTCCAACAACTGAGTTACAACACCAACCAAAACCATTACAAATATTTGTTTTAAAATTTGTCAATACATGGATGCCTACTATGATCACTTCTATTTAACAATATCCTGTAAATCTTTGATGTTGCACAAAGAAAAAAATAGATTAACTTCTAGTTAACATTATTCTGTAAATCTGTGACATTGTGTAAATCTTTGACATAACACAATAAATAGAAATCAAGTGAATTCAAATCTCTAATTCTTTGTTATTCATGAAACTACACAGTGGAGTTATTGGAAGCCTTGGAAAGCATGAAAAAATAGTTTATGGAAAATAGTTGAAAGGTGTTTTCAAAAGATTTTATTAGCACAACTTAAAATAATGTGAGACTTTCATACATGAACGTAATACACTTTTACAATATTCACTTTTCTGTTACCCTCCCTCATTCCCGTGTCTTTCTCACTAGTCCCGTATCCCGTCCCTTTTAGCCTCTCATCTAATTCCATGTCTTTTGTGTGTGTGTTTCAGTGACTTTCATTAGGATTGCTTACAGAAGCATGGGCGCCCTGCCAGGGCACACCACTGAAGGACGTCCCTTTCCCTTCCTCAGCAACTACTAAGGAACTATCATCTTTAAGGAGCCCCTTCCCTTCCTTCTATAAGAGGGTGTTGATAGGCCTGGTATAGTCTAGTCCAGCTCTTGTACAGGTAGTCACACGCGCTGTGAGCTCAGGAGTGTGACAGGCTTGTCACGATGTCAGCATTTCATACCACTCCCTATCCCTTCCTGCGACTCTTAAATTCTTTCTGCTCTGTGTTGTTCTGAGAGGGAGGGAGAGAGAGGAAGAGAGAGAGAGAGAGAGAGAGAGAGAGAGAGAGAGAGAGAGAGAGAGAGAAGTGACAGCCCAACATTCAACACTCCTTTATTCTCAGTGCTTTTGCCCGTTGTCCCTGAAGTCACTACTGTTAACTGCAAAATGACATTGGTTCGGCCAGCACTGACCGTGGCATTATAGTCTATGGGCAGAAGCAGTTATTTAGAAGGTGTATTATGCCACTCTAGCAGGGCAACAGCAGTAGCTTCTTCTCATTGTCCAGGACTTCCTAAGCAATCAGCTTGTTTGTTGAGTTTACAGTTTCAGATGTGAACTCTCCTTTTGAAGCAGGCTTCAGAATGAGTCAGAAAACAGTTGGTAACTCCTACAACAGTTGTGGCATTGTTCATTACTGCACAGTAGACTCATAGTATCCTATCATCTATAGCTGAGTAAGACTGCTAAGGACAATTGTCTCCCTGCCGACTTCATGGCACCTTCAAGCACTGTGAAGACTACCCAGTGTGGAGAAAACTTTCAGTTGTGGTGGGCCTGTCAGAATCTTATTAATCCATCAGTTCTGTGAAGTGTGAGTGTGTGTGTGTGTGTGTGTGTGTGTGTGTGTATGTGTGTGTATGCACATACTCACACCTTGAAATTGTCTGTGGGGAGGAAGGGACAGCTTAGTCAGCTGAGCAAGTGGAGAGGTTTCAATGACAAGGAACTTCCTCTGACACCTGCTTGATGCTCTAGTTGTAGGCAAGCCGTTCACCATCATCTCTTGCTTCTGTCACCGCTGGGTGTTTGGCTGGTTTGGCTGCCGCTGGTATGGATGGGCTGGATTTTTCTTTGGCTGTGGAAGCCTTATTACCATGACTGCTGTTAGCCTGGACCGGTATCTGAAGATCTGCTATCTATCTTATGGTAAGTTGGAAGGTTCCTTGTTCCCTGATAGTGAAAGTTAGATGGTTTGAGTGTTAGAGCTGTATACACTTTGCACAGTAAATAAATTTATTATTAATAACTTCAGTGACCAAGAATACTTCTACTATTCATAGCCTCCCTTGTCTTACTCTATATTTTGATTTGACGGGTATCAATGTATGTTTCCTTTAGTACTACTTTTATAATAATGCCTATAGCTTTTAAATATCTCACTTCTTTTGTATAAAGTATGGAAATGCCTACCACATTTCCCCATACAAGAAATAAAAGCAAAAAGATAAAAAAAATGCATGAGCATGATCAGATCTGGGGTATTTAGCTGATGACCTATTTAGCTTCGCAATTATAAGGAAGGCTGTCTGCGACTCTCCTTTAGGACTCAGACTCCCCATATTTTCAGAGAAGGGGAGATCCAGAATGTTCTCCAGGTTTAGAGAGCCACACAGATGTCCCTACCTGAAAGGACACACACACTGAGATGCCGCCCTGCTGATCTGTCCTGGTATTGGTAGGTAGAGGAGTAGCTAACAAGGGAGCTGGTGAAGCAGCTGTAATGGAGTCTTCAGAGCTCTGTGTTTACAAGATTAGACTGTCGTACTAATTCAAGTTTTAGTACCTTTCTTATGGGGATTTCTGGGAATTTTCTGAACAAGAAGGAGAAAATTGTGGGGCTCTTATTTTTAATATTGAGAATCAGACCTACTCAGGAAGTGGTTCTGATTCCCTTCGCGTAAAGCTGTTTGGACTGACAACCGGTTAGGTAGAGTGGCCAAGGCCAGAGGACAGAGTACAGTCAGCAGACAGATGTGGAAAGGAAAGGTTTCTTTGGTTCCTAAACAGTTTAGACTATGGCAGGAGAATGGTGTTGTAAATGTCTTTACCATTACAATTTTAATCTCTTTTTATCAACACCTGAAGCTTCCAGCAGAAACAGCCCAAGTCAAAATTTCCAATAAGGTTAAAATGTAAATTAGGCAGTTTGGATGACATCAGAGTCTAACTCTTACTATAATCTTTTTTTTTTTTAGCACAACAAACTCTTAAGTTTTAATAAAATCATAGATTTTATAGACAAGAAGATAGAAAGTTCAATTTCCTGGCAGTACTTGAGGAGACTAAACCTTGATCTCTGTTTTAAAATGTCATCTTGAGTTTAAACTTGCTATCAACTAAAGACAGGATGTTATCCATCACCAGATTCATGGCAGGGCAGGAACTGGATGAGAAACGTGTATACTACCTAGACTCCTCTAAGGCTGACCCTCAGTGATATCTCACCATTTGATCTGATTCCTTATTGGACCCTCCACACAGTGTTCTCTAGCATACTGGAATTTTAAAGGTCACTTGAGTATGTTCAGACCTTTCCACCATGTAATGTTGCAAACAGTTATCCCCCGAGAGATGACCGTTTGGCCTCTTGCACAATTCCAGTGACCAGTGACGGGGAGCTTACTCTTGCACAAGGCAGCCCATTCTCTGATTGGTCTGCTCTCATTGTTACAATGTTATTCCTTATATTGAGACAAAACTGCCTCCCAGTAACCTCCACCCATTGGTCCTAGTTCTGACTGCTGGAGCAACACAGAACCCATCTACTAATCTCCTCCTTCCTGTACTTGACAGCCTTTCTCCATACTGGAACGTAAGTATCAAAGCGCCTCACTAAGTAACCCCCACTCTCAATGCTTTATCCGTATGCCTTTGCACATCCTTATGAGTATATGTTCATGGTCTCTGCCGGTGTTGGATGCGTTATCGTGGATGATCAAGGGCTGACAAACCTTTGTGGCTACCCGACCGCTACCCTTCTCGGGTTGGGCTTGAGGAAGTTGTGTACTTCGTGGTGCGTAATGGCATGTATTCGAGCAAACGCAGACAACTGAGCATAGCAACAATTGGTTCTATGTTTTTCTTAGTGACAAGACACACGCACACAGGAGTAGATGTTCACGTTCATGTGTATAGCTTGCAAAGCTGACATTGTTTCATTTGCTTTAAACTTCATCAAAACCTTTAAGCAAAGACTGGGGAGACAGTTCAGTTGGCAGAGTGTTTGCCTGGCATGCACAGAGCCCTGGGTTCTACCCCCAGCACCGTATTTACTAGGCACAGTGAGAAGTACACTTGTAATTCCAGTTCTTGGGAGAAGGAGGCAGGAGGATCAGAAGTCCAAGGACATCCTCAGCTCCACAGCCAGTTTGAAAACAGCCTGGGCTAGAGACTCAGGCTCAAAATGAACAAGAAAACAAAGAAACCAACAACAAACCCATAAGCTCTGCATCAGCACAACTTCCCTTGCTGTTCAGGGCGGTGGGCCTTCAGAAAGGGACATGAGACACTACCCTCCGAAGAACTGTGGTCTTAGGGACTCACATCTCTTCTCGTTCAGAGCAGAAGCAGACTTGAGTGCTTGTGGAAGGGATCATTTAGCTTTGCTCTGCGTGTTTCCGCATTTCTCCCCTCCTACTGTGCACCCAAGGCAGCAAGGAGCCACCCCCCTGGCCCTCCTTTCCAGTGTGACAAGGGAGGGCCAGAGAACACTTCCATGGCGACTGATGCTAATCTGGCTTTGGTGGCTGTGTTGAACTTTGGAATATGATCACTGGTCCTTCACTACTTCTTTTTAACGACTTACGTTAAATTACGGCAGCATTTCTTCCTCTTGGAATTCCCTTTTGGTTAAGAAACTAGTATCCTTACACAGAGCTCCGCCCCCACAACCTTCTTGAAGACGTTTTTTCAGAGTTACCTTTGCAGCATGTGTGCCTAATCAGATTGTCTGCTGTTCTCCCACCATGGCTGTATGTGCTTGACTGTCCCGTGAATAACATGAACAACAACAACAAAAAAACTGCATGAATTTCTAAGCATAGTCACCCTCCTCAGTGCCACAACACAGGGTCAGGACCCACCAACCCCATGCAGCCAGTTCTTACGCAAACAGGGGGTCCACACACACAGAAGGTTTTAGGAATAAAGGTGTTTGAAAGACACAGCCAATCCTTTATGATTTCTCACCTCCTGGGAAGGATTCTCCTTTCACTTCTTGGACCACTTCCTGACATACTCTCGAGCCGTCTTCCCAAGCTCCTCCATTGTCTTCAGCGTCCTTTCCTCCTTTGGCTGTCCGCTTCCCCCTCCCTCTGCGTCACTTCTCCCTCCGGAAGCTCCTAGGTGCCTAGAGAAAACTGTCCCTGTGAGTTCTCTTCAAATTGCATCCTCCTGGACAAAGGCTCCAGCTCTGGAACTTTCCCTCCCTTGACTTCGCTCTCCCCCAGGCTTCAATTATCTGTCCACGTCTCCCAGAATTCAGTGGAATGAATCTTTGGAGATGGAATTTAACATGTCCAGGGGAGGTACACGGGTGTCGGGCAGGTTCTGTGTGGTAATGCTTTTTTTTCCACCTCCAGGGGTCTGGCTGAAGAGAAAACATGCTTACATCTGCCTGGCAGTCATCTGGGCATACGCCTCCTTCTGGACCACCATGCCCTTGGTGGGCCTGGGGGACTATGCACCTGAACCCTTCGGAACCTCGTGCACCCTGGACTGGTGGCTGGCCCAGGCTTCAGGTGGAGGCCAGGTGTTCATCCTGAGCATCCTCTTCTTCTGCCTCCTGCTCCCGACGGCTGTGATCGTCTTCTCGTACGTGAAGATCATTGCCAAGGTGAAGTCGTCGTCAAAAGAGGTAGCTCATTTCGACAGTCGGATTCATAGCAGCCATGTGCTGGAGGTGAAGCTGACCAAGGTAACTGCAATCACTTTACAGATGGGAAGTCAAAGGTCAGAGGGTGAGCGACATGGGGACGGCTGGGACCAGGAAAACCTAGAATCCCTATTGATTGTTTGTGTGCTTTTGAACGTTGTTAGGCCTTACCTAAGCCACTGTTCTGTTCCTAACTCATACCACACAAATATCTACTAAATTAGTATATCAGTGGGGGCTTATTTTCTCTATATGTATATCTATCTATCTATCTATCTATCTATCTATCTATCTATCTATCTATCTATCTATCATCTATCTATCTTCTATCTATCTATCTATCTATCTATCTATCTATCTATCTATCTATCTATCTACCTACCTACCTACCTATCTATCTAGATACATTTATAGAAATCATGGCATAAGATACTTTAGAGCTCATACCATTTTGCTGGACTCTGGTGGGCATTTTAAGGACTTCCTACCGTCCACACTGTCTGCTGAAGAAGCTTATCAGATTGCTTCTGAAATGGTTGGATATTATGGTAAAGGTGAGAGAATACAGCTGGTGGCTCTTTACATGTGGTGGTAAAGGGAAAAGAATATGGAATTTGACAACGGATGAGGGTTTGAATTCCATCATAACCATTCCCCTTTGTAACCTGGCACTAGACACCTAGTTTCTCTTTAGATTTAATTAATGGATTGGTTAATGTTTTACATATAAATAAAATATAATTATATTATTTTCCTTTCTCTTTCTCCTCCAATCTCTACCATGTCCCTTCCCTCCAACCCTCCATTTTCTCACTGTGTAACAAAAATAGTATCACCTGGGTCTGGAGGAACGGCTCAGCAGTTAGAAACACCGTTTCTTCAGGGGAACCAGGTTTGGCCTCCAGCACCCACACGGCAGCCTACAACTCACCTGACACCCTCTTCTGCCTCCTCAGGCACCATACATGCTCAAGCCGAGCAGACATGAAGGCAAACACCCACACACATAAAATAAAAATAAACCTAGAAAGAAAAGCATTGAACCTCCCTGATATCCGTTATACACTGACACTAATTCCAACTCATTTCTACTGAAGGCAGAAGAAGAAGCCCCCAGGGCCCGTATCTGCCCTTCCCTTCCTTCAGCCCCTGCTCAGGACTGCTCAGCTTCTCACTCATTCAGAGCTTCCACTCGCCACGATGATCTAGAAGTGTGTAACTTCAAGGCTGCCGGCCAAGATTTTAGCATCAAAATAAATTTATTTAAGTAGTTCTAGCTGGGTTGTTATCTTGATCTGTCCTCTTTTGGTCTGATTTCATCTAGAAAACTTGAAATGGCATCTGTCTACAAGCCTGGCAGCTTCTCTAATTATTTTTTTGTTGATGGTTTTTCCGACTTCCACAGACTACAAACGGAAGTAGAGTGTGTATTTGTCTAAACATATGTGTTTTGTTTACACAATGCACAATCTGTATGCACTCTCTGGTTCTGTGGCTCAACACAACCTCACCTTTCTGTCTGCCTTTGACCTTGTGAAGCACGGTTCATTATTGGCCAATAAGGGGAAGTTCAGTAGCACCGGCTCTCCCCCGTCTGTACTCAGAGCTTCCTGTCAGGCCTGCAGAGGTCATTAAAATGTCACGGTCCAGTTGGTTGGAGATCCAGCCAGGTTTTTGCTGTTCATTGTCCTGACTCTGTTGAGGTATCTAATTCTTTCTGTTCTTCCTCTGTAGCACACTGCATGTTCTTTATCCTAATCCCACGGCCTCTGTAAGCAGTGTCTCAACTCTGCTTCCCTCTCCTCCGCAACCCGTACAGTAAACACTTTGGACGTGGCTAAGACCTTGATGAGGAAGACATGTGTTTTCGGTTTGTACCTCCTCACACACGCAGAGGGCCCTGTGGCTTTTCTCTGCAGCCCTGATCTGTGGCACTCAGCTCAGAAAGGCCAGTTCAGGACTTGTTCTCACCCCTTCTGAGGTCCTTTCTTGTCTTTGGACTACAGACATTTCATCTATTGGGGTGGAAAACTAGTTTGTACTTTCTTGTGCATTCTCAGCATCATTTAGGCCCCTGCCTGTGGACACTCAATGGTTTTTCACCATAAAAGGATGAAAAGCCTTTATTCTCAACTATTTTTTTCCCTCATGTAGCTTTCAAGTTTTCCTCCTCCCTCCCTCCCTCCCTCCCTCCTTCCCTCCCTCTCTCCCTCCTTCCCTCCCTCCCTCCCTTCTTCCTTCCTGCACTTTTCACTATCTCATGTACCCAGGATGCCCTTAACGTCACTGTGTAGCTGAGGCTGACCTTGAACTCCCAATCCTTCTGTCTCCACTTCCCAGGTACTAGAATTATAGCCATACTCTATCATGCCCAACTAACTTAAAATTCTATTTTGATACTGAGATGCCGAAAAATGAATGTTTAGTTGTTGCACGGGGCAAATATTTTTGCTGGTAAAATTATTTGCCCAGTGCATTGAAGCTCTTGTGGTTCCTTTGATAAGGGGGCAGTGCTGTGACTGGACAACAAGGTCAGAAAGGGCACATGAGTTTTTCAAACATTGTGCCAAATACTTTGGCACTCCGGATTTGTTCTTTAATGTACACTGATCAGCTATTCTGTCCAGACCTGTAGTTAATCCAGACCCTGGATTTCTCTTTTCATCCCTTTCACTATTATTAAATACCCCTCCTCAACTGTCTCTAGAGAGTTTAAGTTCCCTACTGTAGGACACCAGGGCATTTGGCATGTTTCCTTTAGTGCTACCTGTCATACTGAGTTGAACATTTATCTCTCTTTCTTTGTAGAAGAATGAATGAGGTACAGACACGCATTGCAATCTGTTAGGGTCTGCATTCTGTAGTCCGGAACTTGCTAGATGGTAACCATGATGCCTCCATTGAATACATCATTAAAGCGACCTAATTACCTTGCTAACTGTGAAGTGGTTTTTTGACCTCTGGCTTGAGCATCTCTTTCTTTGGGACTTTTCACTTCATTCTTTCCCTTTTCTTGAGAAAACAAAAAACAAAAACAAAACCCTAGCTATGAACTCAGTTTTTCTCAGGTGGCTTTGTTTCCTTGATTAACCCATTGATCAGTGAGGTATCGGGTTCAGGGGACTCTCTATGTGATGCCAAGGGCAGTTAGTAGAAGCACTTGCTCTTTTTAAAACCAGTTAGTTCTTTCTCTTTGTTCTCTTTAGCTTTCCCCAGGTTACAGGCCACTTCTCAGAGAAGGGTTTTAAAAAATGGAATTCAGGTCTTTCTGTCAGAATGTTTTACTGAACTACTATGATTACTTCATGGGAATTGTCAAATTTTTAATTAATTTGCAATTGTAAACTCCTCTTGTGGTTGTGTGTTCGATGCCCTTCTTTACTACCAGTCAATAGGGCCTGCAGGGAAACCACATCCTTCCAACACTTCCCGTTCCCAGAACCCAGCACAATGCCTCTAGCATGCTAAATTCTAAGTAACTATTTGCTGTAGGAAAGAAAAACTAGGCCAGAGAGACATAATAATAAAAAAGAATTTCAAAGTCCTTGTTATTTCCAATATTCCCACTTGTCTTGTGAGAAGATACACACGGTTAACATTTATTATTGATTTTGGTCATCGGTATTTGAATCCTGTTCTAAAAAATTGTCAACAATTTTAACTGTTTTGGAGGAGCAGGTGTGAGAGATATGTACGTGACTCAAAGATGCAGAAAAAGCCAACAGCTATACTCCTGTCACCCGCCATTCTCATGTGCATCAGGGTGTGGTAACGGCACACCCAGGGCCAGAGTTCTCCTCACCCAAGGCGGTGTGTTCTAATCAGAACCACTCGGTGGCTGGGGCCTGAGTGCCATCCCTTCCTGAGTCTCAGGGCCAGGTTCCTGCCCAGATCTACACCTTTTGATAAGTTCTACTCCACTCAGCAGAAATCAGTGCTGTAACCTACAACCCAGACTCTGGTCTGACCCACCTTGGGCAAACCATGCAACAAGTAAGGCCTTAGCTTTTCACATCTGTGAACAGGTGTGGGACAGAGAGAGAAGGAACAGCAAGTCCAATGGCATTGTCAGTAACTTTAAAACTCGGAGATTCTGCCCATCTGGTTATACACTTTGGCTCATTTCAAGGCCTGTTGCGGTTGTTGAAGTAATACTAGTTGGGTCTTGTAGCTGTTTGTTTTCCTGTCGGCAACAGTGTCCCATCTAAGGACATGGTTCACCTATAATGACCACATCTTCACCATGTCCCTTCCTCTGTTGATCAGGCCCTTACAAACTATCTCGCGTTCATTAGGTCAGGCCATGGCTTAGTCTGGGGGCATCATCTTCAGTTTTAGACTTAAACTCCCAAATACAGACGGGCAGGAGGAGAAGCGACCTAATTTGCCTCCTCTCTTTCGGTCTTGGGTTTTGCTTGTTTTTAGAGTAGCGGTATTTTTAAGGTTTGAAAAAATTGCAGCTGGAAAGTGTGGAATTTTTTTTTTTTTCTTAAGCATGAGCTCATATTTTCTGCCTGGATCGCAGCCAGGGCTAACAGATGGCAGGCGCCCCAAAGACTCCAGAGAAGTTTCTTTGCAAGTTTGTGGAAGAGGGTGTGAGACAGTTGACCGCAGCTGTCACTCTGTGGGTAAACAAAAGGAGCTCAAAGCAGACCTGTTAGGTTGTTGGATGACCTGAGCCCTTAGAAGGTGGCCTGAGAGCACAGGGATCCTTTCTCTTGGTTTTACACGTGTGTGAGGGAACTGAGGTACAAAAAGCTACGGCAGCAGTGAGGGTCCCCACTTCCTATTCATTTCCCCCTTCCCTTCATCTTCCCCCTCTACTTTTTACTTTTTCTTCTTCAAAAATATACTCTATAGTATAGGCTGTCCTGGAACTCATTCTGAAAAAAATATTGGCCTTGAACTCATGGTCATCCTCCTGCCTCTGCCTCCTGAGTGCTAGGGTCACTGGCATGCCTCCATACTGGCCTTTTACTTTTCTGCATTTTGGTAGTATCGCTTAGTGACAGGCATACTCACACATGGAAGGCAGCTGTCCCAGAAATGGCATTACTGTCTTTTAATCTAATTTTAATTGGTTGTGAGCAGATCTATGTACTTGCTAATATATCTATGATAATATAGCTCGATCTTTTCATCCATCATATACATAGGTCATTCACACAGTGTCTGGCAGTGGGCGAGACCCTCTACTACCCTTCTCTTGGCACACTGATTTCACCTCAGCCATCAAATTCACATTGCTATCACTTTCTTGGTGATGTAACTCAAACATGGATGGAGGGTTCATTCTGTTTCCTTGCCTTCCTTTATGCTTTTTTTTTTTTTCTTCACATCAATCCTATGGCCTCCGCCCATTGATTTCATTATTCAATGATGCGTGCAGCTGAGCCTGACTCAGATCTGGGCAGAGGAGCTTGGTGGGAGGAACTGGACTCCTGAAATGGCTGTGCATAGAGTAGCAGAGTTTCGTTCTTCTGAGAGACAGTAGGGCTAAATTAGGATTGAGACCATGGAGAGACACAGTATCTCACAGCCAAAGACTCCGCATCCTTCTACCATGTCCCTCACACCAAGAGGAGGGAACCGCCCTCCTTAGAACTGTTGCCTGCTCTGATAATTCAGAGTCATGGATAGTTTCAAACGTTTAAGCTCAGCCCCTCATCTTATGCCAGTGTTAACTAGCTAGTTAACTCAGTGGAACTGAACACATGTGGGCACCATCACTTGGTAATACTTACTGCCACCCTGAACCAGAACTGGGGAATACTGGCGTCCTTGGGTCTTTTGCAGCAAGACTTATTTAAAATGAACCGAGCTGCAGATGTGTGATTCTTTTGTACAAGCTAAACATGAATTCTGTGAATTGCCTCCCACAAAACTGTTCTAATTTAAGAACCAGAGCTTTTAGTGCTTTGTCAGTGAACCAAGAAATGGCGATGGGGATGAAGTCATTAAAAAATAAACAGCCTAGGAAGAGCGATGGGTGCTGGGGATCCCTGGGGAGTAAATGTCGGGAAACTGAAGTTAGATTGAATTAGATAAAATGAGGAATGAACTCAAGAAAAGTTGAAGCCCAGTCCAAGATCTGGGAAAATGTCATGAAGGTTTCAGAAAGTGCATGATAGATAGAAGCTTAAACATTAATTAATTTAGTTTTTTCCCCTTTGGTGTGTTTGTGTGTGTGCCCATGTTTGTCACATTGCATGAATCGATGTCAAAAGACAGCTTACAGGAATGGCTTCTCTCCTTCTCCCACTTGAGTTCCTGGGATCAAACCCAGGTTGTCTGGCTTGGTGGCAAGCACCTTTACTATGGGACTTAATTCGCTGGCCCAGATTTACTACCTGAATGACTGACATTCTGTGCAATATAATTTAAAATGAGGTCAACGGAAATGGATGTGCCTGGCTTTGACTTTTCACCCATGCGCACGTGCTTTTCTTTCCACACCTCTCACCTTTGCCCCTTCTTTTTGTTTTAGACTTGATTCTAGTGATAGTGTTTTATTCTGAAGCCAGAAGCCCCACAGTACTTAACTGACTGTGTTAACAAAACAAAACAACACAGTGTATCCAAGTCTTCTGCATCTTTTAAGAAAAGAAAACACAGCACGAATGTTATAAACCTTCCCTGTTCCTACTGAATTCCCATAAAAGTAGAAAGTAGTATGGGATTTGTGCTAACCTATTTTTTGTCAATGGCTTTGGCAGTGGTACAGACAATGGCTTTCAAGATGGCATAAGAGCATCCTGTGACTCACCCTAGAACCAAAGATGGGGCTTTACAGCTGCTAACACAAGCTTCATTTTTGTAGCTAGTATATATATTTTTTTTAATTTAGGAAAAAAGGGGCCTCACTGGGCACCTTGGGGTATCTACTCTTTAGAAACAAAATAGAAAGGACTTCTGGATAGATTTCTGTGGGATGATGGAAAAGCTATAAGTGTTGGTCACAAAACAGAAAAAGATTTAGCTTAAGAGGCTGAAGCATAATTGCAGGGCCTTTGATTGAGTCCTGGCTCCTTTGGTTCATCTCTTGGGGATTCTCATTCTCTGTAGAGTGGAACAAACTGAGCATTGCTGAGGAGTTTCTTGCCTGCCATTAGTGTTGAAGATGAGTTTTGAAATTCCATTTTTGAAGATTTATTATTTTTAAATCATGTGTATGTGTGTACATCTGTGTGTGGATATGCGCAGGTGAGCACAGGTACCTCCCGTGGCCACAGGAGGCACTGGATTCTCTGGAGCCAGACCGACAAGTGGTTGTGAGTGCTGGGAACTGAACTTGAGTTCTTTGGAAGCACGGGCAGCTCTCTTTAACTCGTGGCCCTGTCTCTGTCTCTTGAGCCTCCTGAGCCTTGAAATTCTTGAGTGAAATATTCTAAATTCTGCAACCCCAGAATTTAGAATATATTTTCCAATCTCTCTCTCTCTCTCTCTCTCTCTCTCTCTCTCTCTCTCTCTCTGTGTGTGTGTGTTTCTGGGGATGGAGATGGAACACTTGCTAAGCAAGTGTCTTATCCCTAAACTCAGCCTCATGCTTCGTTCTTACATATCTTGCAAAGGTAGGTTTCCATGGCAACACATCTCACACCCATGATGCTCTTTAGGTCACAGACAGACAAGTTTTGGATCATTCCCTGTGTATAACAGTCAGGCTCCTACTTTTTCCTATGGAAATGCACATGCATATGTGTGACACACATACACATAGAAGACACACAAACACAAGGTTTATTACTGAGAACAGCACCCAGCTGTGCCACTTAAACAAAAGAGCATCTATACATAATTTAACATGTTTGTACAGCATGCTAGGTCTCACACCTCTTCGTAGCACATCATGACCAGGATATCAGGAACGGTTGTTGTCTTTTTAGGTCCAATGATGGGAGGAAGATACAACGACACCCTTGTTCGTACCGTTCTTTCATCTTCCCAAGATCTGAGGAAGCTCACAAGTAAAAGTGAGGAAGGCTAGATCTCTCATTCCTGTCTCTGTAGTCAATGGGTTTAGTACGACTGTTAGTCAGACTTGAGTGATGCTCTACCTCTTATGTCAACATCACGAAGCTAGGGAGAGAGATGCCAAGAATTGTAAAGCTGAAGATACAGCAGGAAAATTAAAATGAATGCAGACCAACAAAAGGAAAAGCACGCTAAAGTGCTGATTTAGGTTCAGCTTCATTATGTAGCTCACTGGAAGAACGACAGCGTAAGGACATTTAGAAGTTAGCAATGCTCTCTTTTACGTAGGTCCCGAAATAGGCCACTTAAAATAAAAAAAAAAAACCAGCCCTGGACTTCATTTCTGAGGGTTGGTAGTCTCACTGAAAACCTTCTTATTTCTGTTTGGACATTTGTCTAAACTAATCTGGTTAGAGTGGAAATTCTAGATGGGCAGGGATGTGTCTGCTTGTCCTTCCTGTGTCCTGTCTACGAAACATAGACTCTCAATACTACTTGTTGGCTGAATGGATAGTGGTCTGTCTATACACTGTTTTCTCTAGGCAATTTCTCCCTACGGGCTAATCTTCCATGTTTCTGTTCATAAACCTCTGCGAGCTACAGAGCACATGACAGTAAGCGAGAACTCAGCAATATGTTTTTACAAAACCCTGAACACACGTGTATTCTCTCTGCTCCCGGCCTTACCTCCTTGATCAGCTTTTCCACATCTCCATGGTTCTCTCATTTGTACATGGACAGACTCCACTCATACATGGGGTGCCTTCCTCGCAGCTTCTCTTGCTGCTATTCCTTCACCTTGCCCAAGTGTAGAGGCTGTACAACATACTCCATGAAGCTCTTACTTATTCCAATAAGAAACAAACTTGTTCTCCTCCGTGCTGGCACCAAAACCATATCTAGCCATGCTCTGCTATTATTTATACTCTAGAAGAGTACTCAGGAACTGGGGCATGTTTAGGGTCTTGTCCAAAGCGTTTGCCAAAACTGTTTGCTCCCCTGAACTAAGATACCTGTTAGGATCAGCAGCTGTAGGGTACTAGTTAGGGTTACACCTAAAAGGACTGAGTTTGGCAAGGAGAAAAGTTGTGAGGGTATTTTAAACTGTATTTCCAATTATTCTGTGGCCTGGAAATATTAAGAGATTATTTTAATTTCATGAGAGAAAACTTTCTATGTTGCTTTGGCTGAAGCTCCGCAACCTCTTTTTGTCTTTTATATCTGGGAAATTTCTGTGATCCAAGCCTCTAACTTGTGAAAAACTTGAACCAGAAGAATCAACATTTAGTGAAAATCTCTGACCAAAGTGCGCATTAGAATTTTAAACTAGGACAACACTTCTCAGTTTCCCGAGGCCAGTGGAGATGATTCAAGAGTTCATCAAGATGGACTTATTTTAGGTCAGGTCTGCAAGAGAATGTGGGTTGAGGACTCTGGCAAGCTCAGGAGAACTGGTATCATTTTATTATGATCTCTTGCCCCAATGTGGGCAGAATCTGACATTATTATAGGGATATATTTTGGGTCGTTGAGGGCATTGGAATTTTAAAATGGAGAGTGGTCAGGATGTGGCAAATGGGATAAGAATTGTGCCAACTTCTCAGAAGTCAATGGAACGCAATCTCTGTGATCAAAACGGGACTTTTTGGGGGATGAAGGACTTGCCTCTCCTTTAAGCCTGTCACAACACTTTGGATTGTTTCTGAAGTCTCTTGATTCCACTGTCTCTCATTTTCCTTGTGTCAGGTGGCAATGCTGATTTGTGCTGGCTTCCTGATTGCCTGGATTCCCTATGCAGTGGTCTCCGTGTGGTCTGCTTTTGGAAGGCCAGACTCCATTCCCATACAGCTCTCCGTGGTACCCACCCTCCTTGCCAAATCTGCAGCGATGTACAATCCGATCATCTACCAGGTCATTGATTACAGATTTGCCTGCTGCCAGACCGGTGGTTTGAGAGCAACGAAGAAGAAGTCTTTGGAAAACTTTAGGTAAAATTCAGAAGCTGGAGATGAATTGTATTTTCTTTGTCTTAAAAAACTGTGGCACTTTAAGCTGACACTTGGGGTGGAGCTGAGTTCCCGAGGAGCTGGGTTAGGAGGATTTTGTTCTCTGATCATCAAAATTTCGGAACCCAAGTCATCAGATGTGTATGGGCTGGATGACAGAAACATATCAAGAGGCATTCTAGTTTTTGATCCTGTGCATTTTGGAGTAATCACTGTATCAGTGATTGTGAACTTTCTTTTGAGGGGATTAAATCCAAATCAGTGCAGGAACATTCTATGTGGCATTGATCCAACCATAAATACTTGTGAAAGATTACTGGCCACTGTTGTCTGGGGCATCAACACTCTTAGTTAAAATCAAAGGCCTGAGGCAGAAGTGTGGGAGAAGGATGATAGATAACCCATTACCCTCTGTTTTCTCTGCCAGGGTCTTTCAGGTATGTTCTACTCTTTCTCTGTGTCACATGAAGACATGGGTTCAAGTAAGGTTAAGGCTGGGAAGCCACTCACCTTTACATAGGCAGCAGGGTAGGAATTGCCACTTAAACATTGGTCTTTTTCATCTATGCTGTTTCTGTTGCACAGAGTACAAGAGACCTTCAAAGTTCACAACTACTTTCCCTAAAGGTCCAATATTGAGTGAGTACAGAGCTAGGATTGTGGGGCGGGGTGGTCTCCTGTGCCTATGCAGAGCTTGTCTTTGAGTAAAAAGTGGAAACTGCATATCAAGTCATTGTCTTGACTGAGGAAGCAGGGAAGACTTCAGGGTCTCTGATCCTCTTGAGTTATTACCTGGGGACAGGTATTCTTCAACACCTCTTCCCTTTAATAAGGGGTATTAGAGATAGACCACCAAGGAAGACATGAAATTTTACCTTCTGATACTCTGCTTTACCACATTTTGAACTTTAATTTGTTTTTACCCTCTGAGTACATGGTCAAATAAAAATAATCATAAAAGTTTATAAATTAGTGACAATATTGCCATTGTTGCTCTGACAAAGGGACCAGATCTACAATTTGAGATGGAAACTTAGTCCTTAAAACAGTAGCTTTCAATAGTCCAACTTCTGAGGGGCACATTAGTTGCTTAGAGCCAAAGACTGGGATGAGCTGACAACAGGAAATTGTAGTGACTGAACCAAAGGGTGTGTGGGAAAGGCCTGTTGTGACAAATGTGAACGGCCTGACAGAGTGTTGATAGTTGATGTCTTCTCTTTGGAAACGAATGATTAAGTCCAAATGCTAACATCCATATCTTTAGGAAGTTACAAAGCTTTTTCCTTATCAACTATTGATTCTTTATTGTGAATGCAGGTAGATGGAATAATTTTCACAGAGAATTTTGGGAGAAAGTAGCGGGACACTTCTTTACTCAAAAATGACAACGTGACAGAGGTGGCTGGAAGCGCCTCTCACCCAGCTCAGAAGTTTGCCTTGGACTGTGATTTGCACATGTACTCACAAGTGTGAGCAGCACATAAATATTCAGCACTCAGCAAGGGAAAGAGGGACAGAAAGTGACTTTGGGGCATGAGCCTTTAGAAAACCCAGTCAGGCAAGAGACAGCTCGGTTTAGTTGTCCTCATGAAACATTTATGCAGAATGCAGTGACTGCTTTTCTGAAGAGGACTGAGAGTGTTTTATGTTCCTGACATTCCTGCTTCTACTGGGGAAGCCAACGTCAGGGCTGAAGCAGTGGGGAGACCTTGAATTCCACAGGCTGGAGCGCCTTCTCGGAAGCCATTTTGGAGAGGTGTTGAACTGTAGGTTTTAGAAGTGTCTGCTCCAGAGGATCACAGAAAGGTGGAAGGCAGCCCTCAAAGTTTCTCTTTTAAATAGAGAGAATTAAGTAGTTCCTGTTTATCTTTGCTGTTGTTAAGAGGCCGAGTGCTCCTATAGTGACGTGAAGTGATTCCGTGGTTCAGACCAAGTCAGTGAACTGACATGGGATTAGCAGATGATATTTTTGCTCTTTCTGAGATTTGAAATGTGTTTTGCTTTGAAGAAGGAAAAATTGAATTCCAACAGAAAAGCTACTGTGTAGAATATGAGCTTGTGAAAAGAAATTTTGAGTTAATTTTAACAGTCCTAGAAAAGTAATGCTGAACTTTCCACAGTCAACTTCCCTGAAGTTTGGCAGAAGGTAGTGAGCCACACAGCAAACAAAAAAGACCCCAGAATTCCAAACATAGAGATGATTCCAGTTTGAAACGGCACTGCAGTCCTCTCTCGGCTGCTGAGATAGAGTCTCTTGTGGCTGGCTGTGTGATTGTTACCTCAGGAACTCTGAGAACTCCACCAGCTGAGATCGGCCCAGGCTGGGCCTGAGTTTCAGCCATTTGCCTGGATCTCTCTCCCAGGTGATTCTCATCACAGCCATATTTGAAAGCTGATGAAAGAGAGGCAGAGAAAGAAAAATACTAGCAACGGCGGGCAGAGTTACAGTTCTTTGCCTCAGCCTCTGTGGAGACCTACGAGGTTGTTTTCGGCTGATGATAGAGAAAGAGACTTCAGTCGCGTGGGTAGAAAGCAACAGACTCAGTGCGCTATGCTGTAAAGGACAAACATCTTTCACACTTCTAATACGTTAGCCCAAGGGCAACCAATACCCCAAATTCTGGGATGGCTCTTACCCTTCAAGTCTTCCTGACTGCCAGGGTTTACAGGCTGCCTCTGCAGGTTCAAATGAATGAGCTTGATGAATTCTGCTTTCACAACATAGAGAATTTGTGCAAAGAAACACTCTGGATGTAGAAGGCTTTGCCCAAGAGATTTCTTTTTCATTTCGAATATTCTGGATTTTTAGTTTTTTCTCATTTAAGCTGAAATTTTATGTGCATAGTTTTTTCACACATTTTTGCTTATTTTTCTACCACTTCATGCAGTTTTTTTTAACTTTTAAAAATTTAATAGATGTATACAATATATCTAGAGAACACCTATGCTCTACTACACCAGGCTTCTCCGAACAGGTAGTGATGGTAGCTAAGCTGACGTGATAGCATACTTAAGAGTGTGTGGATGTATGTCTCTGGCTTCATTTCCTTGTCTCTTCTCTGTTTCTAGGCTGCACACTGTAGCCGCAGCCAGGAAGTCTTCCGCCGTGCTGGAGATCCACCAAGAGGTATGAAGACGGACACAGCAACCCTCATGGACACACTATTCACACGCTTGCCTTTCCACTGGTCTTAACATTCAGTTGTGGCTCCACTCTTGTCTTTATATTATATTTTTATATTTTGTATATTTCCCCTCTTTTTCTTGAAGCCAAGGTTTGTTGGGAAACTGCAAAGGGAAACTAGGCTAGGACTTCCTGAACACTAGGAAGGAAATCCCTGATACTCTCTTTTCCTTGTGCCAAACCTATCCCGTGCCAAATAGGATTTGCCTAAGATAATAAGAAAAAAAAAGTTTACAAGTTTTATTCATTAGGGTATTGTTTTACTTATGTCATCATGACATCTTCTTTATCATTGCCATCATCAGTCATCATCATTTTCTTCATCATCATTTTTTAGTGGAAGACCAGGGATGCTGTGCCTGGGGTTCCCCTAGGCAGCAGGTCACTGGGACAGTGTGGGGCCATGGTTACTTGGTAGGCACTAGATTCTCACAGTTCTTCTCTTCTCTGCTGGCTGAGGGTCGAACTCTGTGCCAGGAATAATAGGAAGGAGTCCTCAAGGGAAATCAGCTCTGTCTGAAAACAGTGAATGGTTTTCTTGTATCTCTGAATTTGAATACAAAATTAATTCCTGCTGATGGCAATTTCATCCTCCTGGGTTTTCATTAGGTTCTTGCTAATTCTATGCAGAGAGTAGGGCATCAGTACCTGAGGAAGAGATTTACTGTCAGTGTTGTTTGAAAATGCTGTTTCTTGTCTTTACTTGCTCTTTGTGACCTTAGTTCTTTTAATTATTGTTCATTGTATCTCCACAAGCACCCTTTTAAGCTCAAGAATGAATAAGAAGGAAGGATTTTAAAACCAAGTTGTGTTCTTTAAATGCTAAGGTGAAGGATAAGGCATGCAAATACTATCCAGATAGGCATTTCGTCAGTGCCCATTGGATTTTTCTTTCCTTACCTAGGAAAGGCCCAAGCAGGTATCCTCTATGCTACCTCCAAGTCAACTATGAACATAGCCTTGTTCATTCCCCTTGTTTCTCCTCTTCTGATAACCGCTAGGCAGAAAAACAAGAAATGAGCGGCTTTTCCCTTGCACTGGTGATCTATTTACCCCTTGCATTTGAAGGTTTGTAGAGTGCCAGGCATTCCCTCAAGGCTCCATCTTTTGTGTATGATAGCTTCAGCTTCTCTGTGTCTATTTTCCTTGAGGACTGCAGGAGGAATGAAGGAGGAGTTAGTGCGTGTTGTTGACTTAAGATAAGTGTTAAGTAGATGTAACAGAAGGAGCTGTGGGATTGCAGCAAAGGTAAGAATCTCTGTCTGGGGTTCAGGGCTACTAAGTCAGGATTGAGCAAGGACACAATTGTCATTAGAAGGGAGAGGCAAGCTCATAGACAGATGTGTAACTGTCGATACGTGAGAATGAGGGACCCAGATCGAGTGGGCAATGTGTTTAGAGCCCAGACCCAGACCGCCTGGGTTTGCACCCTAACTCTGTGCCCTTGGTAAGCTCGTGGAGAAAGGAACCAATCGTTTCTAAGGGTTGTTGTGAGGCACAGATGAGAGAATGAGAAAGAGCCATTCAGCACCCTGTTAGTGAGCACACACTCCTAACACACAAAGAGTTTCTCTTACTGTGCTGGTGGTACTCAGCTGAGAAGGGGGTCACCAATTGCTCTGCACAAGCCGAGTGGGAAGTCATGATGTCTGCACTGTCCAGAACTACCAGTCTGGAGGTACTGCAGAAGGTGGATTCCTTAGTGAGGATGGCAGGTCATGGTTGTGCATTTTCCCATTTGTTAGGGACTTTGTAAAGAAGTTAAAATTTGTGAGATCCTGGATGAAGTGATGGCAGTGGCCATGGAACTGAAAACATAGCTTTCAAATGTCCCAAGAAGTAGGGGTCCTTGGCGGTTGATGGCACGGTGACGGAAGAGTTAAGACTGGCTCTGGGAAATGTGCTTGGGGGAAACTGTGTGGATAAAGAAAAAATGCTGAGTTCAAAAGGCCTGAAAGGACTAAGGTCAAGGAGGTTTTCTGAGGAGGTGATTTTAGATGAGGGGGAGCGAGAGACTGCAGAGGTGAGTCCACTCACGCTAATGTGGCCTGACAGTGAAAGCTAACGTTGACCTTTACAGGGGTGCCCAGACATAGAGTGCACAGTCTCACTTATTAACTAACTAAACTGTGGACTTTAGCACAGCTTTAAAAAGCATGTCCAAAAAAGAATGAGCATACTGAGGAGGGAAATAGGGTTTAAATATTAGGAGCTTTGGGGAAAGATCCTAGCATTCATTTCTCCTACCAATATGAAATATATGATTCTAATCCTCTGTGCCATGCTTCTGTAAGTTTCTGTGATACCCTTGGAGCTAGAAGGAACTAGAATTATTACAGTATTGATTTAGAAAAAGAGGGGTGATCCTTGGGGAAGAATGCGGCAAGAAACGGGTTACTGAGGGTTGGCTGCATACACCAGGCTGTCAGAGAAGGCTTCTTGAACTGGTGTTGTTTGTCCCAGAGCTCACAGTGGTTCAGGGAAACAAACTTTGTGCAGTTACCAAACACTTCCTCAGTTTTCTGTTCCAGCTGCATTTTGGGCTGCTAGGTGTGTGCGTGTGTGTTACTAACATCTAAATCTTTGAACAGACTGTTCGTATTGTTTGAACTCTGAGTAACTGGCTCGGTGTCTGCCCTTTGAAGGGTACTTGGAAGTAAAATGATTGGGATCAAATGGGTAACTCTCAGGCATGATTTGGGGGAGACCTGGGGACATGGAGTAGAATGTTAAAAGGAGAATGTGAAATCCTAGATATCTGGTTTATTCATTATCGCTATCATTGCTATTGTCATTAGTAGTGATTCTTACTAAATATCCAAGGCTGGTTTTGATTGACCTCACACCTCTTTTGTGTTAGAACTGTAGGCTTGTGTCACCATGCCCAGCCAGTCCTAAATTGCCTTCTTTCTATGGGCAGCCATTTAAATTTACTTCATGACAATAAAAAGAAAAAGAACGGACAAATAAATCCATGAAAAGAGACTGAGAGCTTAAATGCACAATGAACTTGAAAATTTAATTTTCAAGAATCATGGTAAAATCCAAAAATAATTTTAATGATTTTCAGAGGAAGGCAGCAGGAATGTGTTTTATAGTACAGCTCTATTTGATCATTCAAATGCAGTTTTCTTAAGAATCAAACATTAAACTTACTTGCAACTTGCTTGGTAACTACAATACTTGGTTCCATTTAATTTTTTCTTAAAAAACCTGCTCTTTGATACTCTATAGCAATGTGAACCAGGTTATAAACAGTAATATTTCCATTAAATCAGTGAAAATGAAGAGAAAAGACAGAGTTGAGGAACTTGAGGGAGGAAATCCAGCAGCAAGTGCTGCTATGTATCTGGAAGGGCTAAGAGGTACCAGCATGAATGTAGGTCTTATAGACATCAGAATGCCAGAGGGCAACCACTGAAGGTATATAGGAAAAAGCTAGTGTGTAGCATTCACCAGCTTTGGATTCATAATTGTATTTATTGTGACGGTCAGATCTTATTGTCCAAATGGTCATCCCTCTTTAATTTTGATTAATGTGTATTCAGTATGCATAAGAATGGAGCTCAATCTGATATGCCAATACATATATACAACCAGAGTGAAAAAAAATCTTGCCTCTCTTTATCTATTTCCTCTCCCTCCCCTAGTTATTCTACGTTCAGGCCAACTTTTCTTTTAACTTTCACACATGAAGGGTTATTTAAATTATTTAACTCAATGTAATATACTTCACATAGAGGTAGTTTGTTGTCAGTGATATAATATTTTCTTTTTATTTTAATTTATGACTAATTAATATTTAGTGTGCACAGCATACCATTCCAATACATTATCTTTTCCCGGTCATCTGTCTACAGGTACCTCGGTTGTTTCCACATTAGAAAATTGTAAATGGTTTGCATGCTTCTTGTGAAAAGGTGGCAAAAGGCAAAATCTTTGAAAGTTATAGGGAATTCAGTAAGAAAACAGCATCAAAAGCATATTCTTAGTACCAACAGCTTGAAATCTCAAAGTCTAAGTGTATTACTTAGAGAAAACCCTTGCTCACCACTGTGGCTTTTGTGAACTTGGATATTTTACTTTTTAAAGATTGTACAACCTTCTACATGTATATACACAGGTCGTGTTAATGAGCGGAATACATTTTTGAGATTATTCTACTGAATAAATTTGAATCTTAAGTGACTTTTCTCAGTTATGCTAAATATCTGTTCCTTATCTCTGGTCTCCGCTGAACATGTCTCAAGCAGACCATGAGATTTATATCTCATGTATATCACATAAGACATAGCTGAGAGAAAAATCACTCCACCTTGTACCAGGATTTCATTGGTTCTATTTTGCTTTGGTTTCAACGCTGGCTGACTCTAACTAGGTAAATGTCTCATTCACTCATTCCTTCTAGTCAGGAGCTTTTATTATACATTTGCAACACACAGTGAACTGCTTATTTTGGGAAATATAGAAGAAGGGGAGTATGTGTTTTCGATCTCTTAGGAATTGTGTGTCAGAATCAGAAAATTGCCAACCAACTCTTTATGTTTATATAGCATCTACCTCTCTCTGTGTGTCTATATTATCTATATCTGTGTCATCTACCAAATGGTCACAACTGTCGTAGTTGCTAGATGGGGCCCTCTGGATGCCATCAGAGTTTGATGTTTGAACTTCATGAATTAGTTTTCTTCCCCAGGATATAATAAAATGAGCCTCACCGTGTGATCTGGGATCCTGTGATTTATACATTTTTTTTCCTTGAGAACAGAGATAGAACGTAGGAAACAGAGCATAGGCATTCAGAGCACAGTTTGGGAATTAGCCTTGTGTCATACCAAATATGTGTCACCCACCAGATGTGTGGGTAAATGGCCTTATTTCTCCAAGTCCTCAGTTGTCAAAAGTCTCACATCATTATAATTTGTTTTAAATTCATTAAAGTC